GGTGTCAACTGATCGGAGAAATTGATATTAAAATTTTCATTTCCATTTCCATACAATACAGGGTCAGTGGTATCGGCACATGGTTCAGTTTCCATACTTAATATTGTATTAATAATCCCACTCTCAATATCTGTCATAACACCATTAGTTTGGTTTCTCAGTGCGGAAGAAACAGTAGCTGGTAATGACGGCTGTGTTGCTGCTGATGACAGACTTCCATTAGTGTGTGGACCATTAGACAATGTACTATGTTTACCCAATCTAATGGCTTCCAAATCCTCATTTGTCAAGTGTGGAACAATGATGTCCCCTGGTTTTGGAAGTGGCACAAAAATTTTGTCTGGTGGTATTGATGGTGGAATGTCTTGACTAGCTCTCCTTCGACTACGGAAATTTGTATTAAGAAAATAGACAAAATCATCTTTGTAACTTCCTTGAATTTTTAATTTCGAATCTGATGTACTATTCTTAAGGAATTCTGCCAGTTTTTCACTTTTGTTGCTCTTTTTCTCACTTTCCCCGGTAATCAAATCAAATGTTTTGTCTTCTTTCGTCTCTGAACTACCAGAGCGCTTTGTTCTTTTTTCATTTCCATCGCTCTTTCTCTCCTTTGTTTTCCCCTTGCCAGCTATTTCCTTGTTGACCTTTTGAACCGAGAACGGTATATTACTTGGTCTGGCATGATATGGAAGACTATAGTCATGATCATGCTCAATGTGTTCAGTTGAATTATTCTGAACGCATGTTACAGCACTTTCACTTTTGTTCTGTTGAGAAATATTGTTTGAAAGAAGAGAAGTGGCAATCCTTTGCCCGAATGCAATTTGACTCTTTTCTGGTGATTGCAAACCAAGAGTAGAGTTACAGACAGAAGCAAATGTTCCAATTGAAAATTTACCAACTTTGGGTGATGTTTTAGTTGAACTAGTTGGAGAATTTGTCTCATGAGGTACAACTGGTATCGCATTAGAATTAACCAAAGCAACAATTGCGTCTCTTGCCTTATTGACATCGTTCAAATCAAACGAAGGTAACATGTCTGTCTTGACAGGTATTAGTGATGGACTATCACGTCTATATGTTCTAGATTCTAGACCGTCAGGTGATAATCCTGAATCACTGAAACCACTGTCTTGTGAAAATTCATTTACTAGATGTAAATCATGGAGTTTGTCATTTCTTTTTTCTGATGAGTCATCCCAATATTTCTCAGCATACTCATGATCTTGCATTGAAAATGTGGCTCTGCTTGAATAACTATCCACGGATGGACTTTCCTCAGAAGTATCTTCAATGTTAGTCTGTTTTTCTTGAACAGCATATGTTTCAACTTTATCCAGAACTTGTGACTTCCCCATGTCACATCTGTCTATGTTATTAGCACCTGTGTCTATTTTACCAGGTAGTGTCTCATTATCACCATATTGATTTTTTCCATCTTTCTCCAATATTTTATTCTCTTTATCTGACCATGTAGATATTGAATATTCTGTACTCGCCAATAATGCTATGTCTTGATCATGATTTTCTTCTTCTTCAATCGAATGTTTTATATTTAGAATCTGATCACTGTTTGTATTAGATTCCAATATAGTTTGATCATTGGGTGGAGTTTTATGTGATTCATTAAAATCAATATCCTCATAAACAGGTGACCTGATATCAGAATCTATCCTCTCATTACAAACATCAAAATCATCAATTTGAACTGGTTTGCAGGCTGGTACAGTATAACTGGAGCAGGATTCCTTTCTCCCGGTGCTGTCAGTCAAACTCTCCTCTGAATCTACATGTTTTAATTCATCTTTTTCATTATCTAAATTTAAATCCTCTCTTAGATCCTCAATTAACAGATTACTTTCCTCTAAAGAATGCAATTTTGTATCTAAATGTTCGGATAATGTCTCTTTATTTTCTCCATCACATACTTGATCAGATTTATTTTCTTTGTGCCCTTCATTTCCACTCTCTGGATTTGGTGTAGTAGTTTCCTCAAGGCTATTTTTATCAGTACTATTTACACCTGCCAATAACTGGTCATGGTTCACCTGATCACCTGATTTGTCAACAAGTTTTACAATAACTTTCTTATCATTCCCTAAGGACAAAACATCTGGCAATTTTAGAACTGTTTTATTTCCTGAGCTTACTTTTTGTATACTTCCATAATTATGCTCATTGAGCATTTTCTCCAACTCAGAACTAATAGTGAGCTTGACTTTTTTCACGCCATCTTCAACAAAGCTAGTAGTTCGAATCAATCCAATAGGTTTTGTGTTTGTCTTTTTCTCATTTGTTGAACATGAAAAAGTTGCACAATGTTTAGGGTTTATAATTTTGACTCCTTCTTTAGGTTTGACAATAACAATTTTTTGTTTCGTTTCAGGTTTATCAGTCTGTTTCAATGCAGCAGCTGTGGCTAAGATGTCTAATGGATTAAAATCACTCTGTTTACAATGCTGCATGCTGGGTGATCAGCTGACATCTCCGCATACTATCCCTATAAAGAAACGTTATCTGTTAAAGCCATACAAGTACTTATGTCTTCTTGTAATTTTAATCAGTTACTGACATTACTAATCATTATTTAAAAAAAAATCGTTATCATCTGAATTTGAGATAATTTCATTACTTTAAGAATAAATTGAATGTAGTGGTGATTTTTATTTTTTTAAAATTATTCAGAATAAATGTTTTACATTTTGTTGGTAATATGAAAATGTTTGGTTGTTAATTATAAGGGTGAGAAAAATATATAAATCCCATATCCGTTACCACATTTACCTAAAATTAAGCTTCAGCTAACTATAATACACTTTGTACTAATAGTTCTATTGGGAAATAAATCATCTGATTTCCTGTTGTATAAATACCTAATTACTTTGTTGATACAACATGTAACTGTAAACATGCATTTACATGTAAAATAGGTTGAATAATATATGATGTAGTTATAATAAAAACTGCACCATAGTTTCATCCAGCTATTAAAATATGAAAATGTCTACCTGATTTAAACTGAATCAATATTCATCAAAATCAATAGTTATTCTCATGAACAACTTGGATCAGTTATTTTAGTTTCACTATAAAAATGTTAGCAGTCTTATCAATAGATGAATTATATGGATTTTACCTATTTATTTCTGGTATCAAATAAACAAGTTCATTATTTCATTATTTACATACATACAATGTTTTTACTTTCTTTCTCTTCTGTGTGTATTTCCCCCCCCCTCCTCATTTGAAAAAAAAATCCACTTGACTTTATTTCTATACAAAAATATCAATTCCAAAATTAAAACATTTTTTTCATTTAACAGTTCCAAGTTAAAACCCACATTCTCATAATTAAAACCAATAGACCATTGAAATTATTACTCCACAGTATATTGTCAATATATTTGAAATATACATGTATCGGATTTGTTTACCTGTGATCTCTGGCATGAAACGATCAATATTATCTGGCTTCAAGGTAATATGGTAATGTATTAAACATGTTATTTACAGGCCATATAAAATAAATTATTCAGTTTAATTCTTTTTCATTTGAAAAAATCTGATAGGAAGGAATTGAAAAGGAAAAAAATATAATATAAATCTTAAAACTTGGACTTAGGCAATGCTGTATTTCTATGTAATAAAATCTTATTAAATACACTGTCCAAACAGAATTCTGTCTTTGAATAGTTGTAGTGCAGGAAAATATCAATATCTATCAGAAGTAGAACTAATCCAGACATAGAAGTCCTAAAGGCATATAATCTATAACATCACGCTGTGACTCTAAAGTTCACTTAAAGTATAATATATATAATATTGAATTTATGTGAAAAACATTTACCCTTTCTTACTTTTACCATAAATAATCACTGAATGAGAAGGACAAAAGTCATGAGCCACAATTGTGAAATATTATAAATTTAAATGGATAACGCACAAATATAAAAGTCACATTGAATTTCCTAATTTCATTCCACCAGGGTTACATGTACACACATCTGAGTCATACATATTGAAATATTAACATATATATATACAGCACGCTACAGGTCATTATATAGGTTGTGAATAGATTATTTTCCTTGGTGTAAGTGACCATAATCTTTTTAATGTCCACTTTATAACTAAAAGTATATTTACACAAGATCCTGATTATAACACTGCGGTTTCCCCTTTTAACATAAGCTTCATAATCTCCTTGATTAGAAAGAGTACAAAGAAAAAGGGGGCATGTAACAAACCCTCAAGATAGGCATCTACACACAAAAGGGAAAAATTAACTCCCCTATAACAAACAAAATAATGTACCTCTTAAAAGAATGATCAACAACTAACAATGATTAACTTCCTAAATCAAACACTTAGATCTATATGTACACAATACTGGTACAAAAGCAAATAAAATTCTACAACTATTTCCGTGGATTTGTGTTTGTCTGGAGTGCTGAAGGTCATGGGTTTGATCCTTGGCACTTTAAAATTGGATTTGGCTGCTTCTGAGATGTCTGCTAAGCACTAGGAAGAAATAAAATGCTTCGCTGGGGCGCAGCTTGATACGACCGCAGAGGTCGAACCCTGAACAGTTGGGGCAAGTATGGACACAAAATTCAAGCTTGATACAGCTATGACTTTGGATTGTCATTAAATATTTGACACAGCATAGGTTTCTGACACAGGATGAATGTGGTGTAAGAACTGGAAAAAATTTAATTTACCTATTATGGTGGAATATCCATAAACTAAATTGTTTGTTAATTTCAATATATCAAAGAATATGTAGAATTCAATGTTTGATGTAATGTAATAAAGTTGAAATTTGGACCGTTTTTGTTCAATGTGGACCAATTTGGTAACATGTATAAATAATCAAAAATCTAAATACATGGGAGCCCATTTAAATACATCATAAAGGTATTAAAATAGAAAGTGACATCATAGTCATGGCTAAAAATAAACAAAAATCCTTAATCAGCAACATTTAAAGTAATATCTAAAAATAAAATTCCTTTGTAACCATAAAAGCCCATTTAAATACATCATAAAGATATTAAAATAGAAAATGACATCATAGTCATGGCTAAACATAGCAAAAAACCCTTAATCAGCATCATTTAACAGTAATATCTAAAAATGGAAATTACATCATAAAGGTATTAAAATAGAAAATGACATCATAGTCATGGCTAAAAATAAACAAAATCCTTAATCAGCATCAGCAACATTTTATAGTAATATCTAAAAATAAAATTCCTTTGTAACCATATATGCCCATTTAAATACATCATAACAGATATTAAAATAGAAAATGACATCATAGTCATGGCTAAACATAGCAAAAACCTTAATCAGCATCATTTAACAGTAATATCTAAAAATAAAAATTTCTTTGCAACCATAAAAGTAAAATAGAAAATGACATCATAATCATAGCTAAAAATAAACAAAAATTTTTTTTATTGGCAAATTTTAAATGGAGTTTATTATACTAAAACAATAAATTTGCAACCATAAACATGATAAAACCCCATTTAAACACATCATAAAAGTATTAAATAATTCAACTACATCATAAGGCTATAAAAATAGAAAATGACTTCATAGTCAAGGCTAAAGGTAAACAAAAAACCTTCATCAGCAAAATTTTATATTGGCAAATTTCCAATGAAGTTTATTACACTAAAATTGTTGGCAAATTTCCGATGCATTTATTAACAATAAAGTTATTGGCAAATTTCCAATTTACATAATTTAAAAGCAGTGTAGATGAGATATTTAAATGAGTTTGAATTACCAACCTTACACTGCTTTTAAATAATGTTCTTTACTCAATTATTTGTCTATTAAAATGGAAACCCTTGTTTTTTAACCTTTTTTCCCCTTATTCCTTAAACATTAGAGCCATAACCACCCCCCCCCCCCCCCCCCCCCAAAGCCAATTATTACTTTCCAATGTAACCTAAATTTCCAATATACATAATTTTAAATTTCAATTCCTCATGATATATAACCGTATCATTATTATTTTCTTTCATATATAAATCTGAAACAACCATCTTTAAATGGAAAATTTTAAAGAAAAAAAAATGAAAAAAAAAAATCCTACCTCCCACACATTTTTTCAACCCCCTTTTGATTCATCATCCCCACCTCAATCACAACCTTCAATTTGTGGTATGGTACATTGCAATACAATTTCACAGAGATCCATACACTTGAACACAAGTTTTTGTTGCAAACTAAAAAAATCCTTATTTTTGACCAATATTTGGCCCCTTATTCATAAATGTTTGAGCAATTAACCCCAAAACTCAATTCCTACTTTCTCTTCGTGATAAAAAATAACTAACTTAAAATGTAAATTTTAAACAAAAAAAAAAGGAAAACAAAAAATTACCCCTTTTTTGACCCCCGCCCCCCTTATGATTCATCACCCCCACCCCCCTTTCCCCCCAAACCAAGCTCAATAACAGCCTTGCCTTTGTGGTATGGTACCTTGTAATACAATTTTAGAGAGATCCATACACTTGAACACAAGTTATTGTCTAGAAACTAAAAAATGCTTATTTTAAACCCCTTTTTAGGCCCCTTATTACTAAACGTTTTGGGCAATTACCACAACACTCAATTCCAGCTTTCCCTTTGTGAAATGGAACCTTGTAGTAAAATTTCAGAAAGATCCATACACTTACACACAAGTTATTGTCATGAAACTAGAAAAATGCTTGTTTTTTGCCCCCTTTTGGCCCCTTATTCCTAAAATTTTGAGGCAATTAACCCCAAAATCAATCCCAGCATTGACCCTTTGTGATATGGAATCTTGTGGTACAATGTCAAAGAGATCCATATGCTAACACACAAGTTATGTCTGGAAGTTACAAAAATGCTTATTTTTGGCCCCTTTTTGGCCCCTAATTCCTTAACTGTTGGTACCATAACCCCCAAAATCAATCCCCACCTTCTTATTGTGGTATTGAACCTTATGGTAAAATTTCATAGAGATCCATTCACTTAAACTAAAGTTAGAGTGCGAAAACCATTGTGTATTCGGACAACGACGACGACGCCAACGTCATACCAATATACGACCTCAAAATTTTTTTGCGGTCGTATAAAAAGACTGATCAGCTTGGAGTCATAATAATGTGTCTAGGTATTTATAGGATGACATGTCTTCCTGCAGATCTTATAAGCTAAGACTCAGCTAGCATGCTAAGAATATACTTCAGTACTTCAGTCTTGTCAGTCGAAAACAAAGCAGGAATAGATGTTCATATCATGCTAAAATATTATATTCCTGAATATTCATGTAATATTTGCCACTGGACATTAGCATACATCAATCAATAAACTTGACACATGTGGTCAAAATAAACACCATCTGTATCATGATCTCACTACATAATTATAAACAGACATACATGTAGTATTTAAAGACATGGAAACTAATAAGGCATTCCTAATGCTCTTCTGCAGGCCTTTCAAATTTCATTTTTA